CCGACAAGGAATACAAATAATAATAATAAACTCCTTTTCCAACACCAATACCAAAACGCGCGGCCCCCATCTTGTTTTCCAGTGAACGGTGTCGTTTCCAGTGCCGCGGTACCGGTGAGCTCTCTTGCGGTACCGTTTTTCTGAACCGCGGTGTCGTTGGGTTTATTCGCGGTGCCGTTTTAGCCAAGCGACACTGTTTCCCAGTCTCGCGATGCCGTCGAGCTTTGAGGTTTGCGGCACCGCTTAAATTCTCCGCGGTATTGCTCGACTCCAAACGATATCGTTTTGGCCATTCGATATCGAATTAAATGCCGAGACTAATTAATGCGGCATTTAATTCAGGCCAAAAATATTTTAGGTGTAAACAATGCCCCCACAACTTAGTTTATAAGAATCAATTCTTATGAACTAAGTTGTGTCAAGTTGTTGACACAATCACTCCACCGAAAATCATTCTTGAAACATTCTGGCCAAATCCTACAAACAATATTGTATTGTTCAACTAGCCTTGCTTGCAACGTTAAATGGCCAAACCAACGTTGATTCATCATATCAAAATCTCTTTTTCTTATTGGCCGGTTTGTCCTCTTGCCACACAAAATTGACGGGCCATTTTTTTTTAATCATGTCATTTAAATCAACACTGATTAGCAATGCTTGGTTCGGCAATGATGTGAAGCACGAAAACAACGCCTGACTTTGATTACTGCAGCACTTGTTTTCCATGCCGCAAAACTACAACTGAAAAACAACTCTGCTTTGTTTTTATTATAATTTTTATATGTATATAACTTGGCCAAGTTGGTTTTGCGGCCAACAATATGGAATTCTTAATTTTTTTTTTTTTTTTATTATTATCAGGCCTGCTGGCAGCTCTGCATGCATAATTTTTTTTTTTTTTCTATGGCTGTTGGGAACAGCCGCAGGGCTGGGAAAATTTCTTTTTTTTTTTTTCTGTATCTTTTCCGCCAGAGCTGTTTGGAACAGCGGCAGAATTGAAAAAAAAAAAATATTCTTTCGCCAGGGCTGTTTGGAACAGCGGCAGAGCTGAATAAAAAAATATTTTTTTTTTTCAGCGCTGCTAGCAACAGCGGCAGTGCTGCATGCATTAGCATTTTTTTTTTGGCTATTATTTTCCTCCACCACCAGGGCTGCTTGCATTTTTTTTTATTACCAGGGCTGCTAGTAAAGGAGGCAGCGCTGAGAGCCCTATTTTTTTTTTTTATATATATCAGATCTGCTAGCAACCGCGCTGCACGCACAAAATTTTTTATTATTACCAGCGGTAGGGCTGAAAAAAAAACTTTTTTTTTTCCGCCAGGGCTGTTTCAGTGGCAGAGCTATTTTTTTTTTTTACAGCATTGTGTATCTTTCCCTATCTTCCAACGATGTTGAGAAAAGAGAACAACACCGCTTGTTATTTTGAACTATTGCCAACGATATTGTTGCTTCTTCTTAGCAATGCCGCTTGATCATATTATATAATATTTTCTCTATAACGTATTAGGTGGCCTAATTTAGCCACGTTATTTATTAACAGTTAAATAAGAAACAAACTAGATTTGGCATAAACCATCATGCCAAAAGTCCACACCCACTGCCAACTCCATCGATCAAACCAAACAAGCCATCCGTAAAGTCCATGATTCATCACAGCTGGCTTCACACGAGTTGGTTTTGATGTTTTGGAATCAATGTTGGCTTGCAAATCCCCAGTTCGTCTAGCTCGAACATCTTTGTTCGAAACTCCACGATCCTGATTTGGCCTAATCTTAGCTTCGCGGAATGGAAAACCATAAGCATTCTTGGCTCTAGACAGGACATTCTCGTTTTTTGGCACCTTTGTCTTGCCAATTCGACCATGCGACATCGCTTGCCTAGACTGGTCTAGTTTTCTCAGCTTCGCACTCTCACCATGTTGTTGGTAGTATGAGCGCCGAGACTTTTCATCAACAGGTACGTTGGTATTTTGCTTATCACGGACATGACTTTCGCACCTATCACAAAACAACGTTGCCCCTTTTAAAATTCCACGTGAGTTTGGAATTTGTTTGGCAATGGCCTTGCCCCCCAGACCACCACTCATGGATTTGTTCACAGCCAGCACTGGTGTGGCAACCCCATGTCGGGTTTGATCGAACTTGCCCCCCTCTCTACTCAGTGGAGGTTTCGGGGACAATTTACATAGAGGATTCTGTTGATTCATGCCAACTTTGGTGGCATTGGATTTTTTCACGTGGCTACCACCCCCACACTGCATAGTTTTTGCTGCTATCCTTGTTTGAATTTTCCTAGAATAGGACAGATTTGGCAAACTTATTTGCCACTTGCGATGTTGTTTTTCCATCAACCGACCATGCGGTGGGATCTCATGCCCCCCTAGCGGCTTAGATTGAACACCATTGCGATGTTGCTTAGACAACCCATCATACGTGAGCTTGCTATGCTCGACGCGATTGTAACAAGGTTCTCGATCCTGGTTCTTGTTTTCAATCTTACTAGAAGTAAGTCGATACTGACTTCTTTGTAGTGGCTTCTGCAAGCCACTTCCAATTGGTGTGTCCTTTAGAACATTGTTGTTCACTGGAAAAGACACATTGGGATTCCTTGCTTCTGGCAACAATGTTGTAGCCATACTCGTCGATGGCGTTTGGTTGACCTTGGCTAGCCGATCAACCATCAAATCATCGCACGCAACAGACATGGTTTCAGATTTAAACACATCAAAATCACATGTGGCTCTATGTATTGACATACTAAAATCAGAAACATAGTCATCCAACTTATCAAACCATCGATCTATGTTGTTTTCAAACTTATCCATTTTCTTTTCAAGATTATCAAATTGGAGATTTACCTCTTGGTGAAACTCCTTCATGGATTGGTGAAACTCCTCCATGGATTGACGTAGATACAGGATTTCATCATGTAGCCGCTCTTCCATCCCTTGCGTACGTCTATCTGCCCCGTTCGCTTGACCAACTTCGATGCCGGGCGCCTCCTCCTCCACAGGTACGTGTGGAAGATCACGATCTTGATTTCCTCGACGCGGAGCCGTGTCAAACACACGTGTCCCACCAGGTGTGCCAAAATGTTTCCTCGGGAAAACCAAATGCCACCGTCGGTGCCGAATTCGTTTCCGGCGATGTTGATTTGATGTTTCACGGTGGAAACTCTTGCGGTGCCGTTTGATCGAATGCACCGGTGATTGCTGAAATCGAGACGACCGTCAAATATCCGCCGCAGAATGTCGGCGCCGTTGATTTGATTGATGCACCTCTGAATGATGAAATCAACGTGACCGTCAAATATCCACCGCCGGGCGGTGTTGTTTTGATCGATGCACCTCTGACTTCTAACCAAGAACGACCGTTACTACGGTTCGCACCTCTCCAAACTACGTTCGAACGAGGGTGTTTGAGTTTTGAGGAATCTACGCTACCGCTACTCCTATGGAGATTCCCGTGGAGAGCTCCGCGACTACGACTAAGACTACAACTATGGAGATCCTTCCTGGAAGGAGAGCTCCGCGAAGGAGTTAGAGAGAAAAAAGGTAAAGTTTGACAGATGTGTTTCTGTGTTGATTTTGGTTGTCCTTTCTCTCTCCTTGCAGGGTTGATTTTATCTAAAACCAACTTCGTAGTCTTCACGCTCTGTAGAACTGCTTCTTCAACTGCCCCGTCCTGAAACCCCACGTGTCTCAACTGGCATGATCTCCTCTTTCTGCTTTGCGTAAAAATCACGTGCCATCGAAACCGCTCCTGTTTGCAGAAACTTGACGAAACGACATTGAGCCAAATCCTACACCCTTGTCCATGCAACGATGTCGTTTCACCAATACCGCGGCATCACCTTTCACTAATCGATGCCGACAAACAATGTCGTTTTCCATTCCGCGACATTGTTTCTTTTTTAAAAACTGTCGTTTGCTAATCCGCGGTACCGTTGGGCTTACTCGCGGTACCGTTTTGAATTAAACGACACCGCCGATATAGCCAAAAAATATTAATCCATGGAACGCGCCGCAGTCGGCGCTCGCATTGGGCCGGGTGAATTTTGGTCACTTGCCCGATATGATTTTTAATTAATCGATACCGCTTACAGGCTCTCGCGGCACCGTTTTTAAATCCGCGGTACCGTTTTAACTCTCCGCGATACCGCTTGTCTCCATGCGGTACCGATTTTCTCCTTCCAACCAGTAATAAAAATATTAATTAATTATAAACAAAACTCCTTCCCCAACACCTACACTAGAACGCGCGGCCCCTCTCCAGTTCCGCGGTACCGCTGAGCTTCCTCGCAGCACCGATTTTCTGTTTCGCGGTACCGTTTTAACTCCCCGCGGTGCCGCTTGTCTCCATGCGGTACCGCTTCTCCCCTTCCCACAAGGAATAATAATAATAGTAATAATAATAATAATAATAATAAAACTCCTTTTCCAACACCAATACCAAAACGCGCGGCCCCCATCTTGTTTTCCGGTGAACGGTGTCGTTTCCAGTGCCGCGGTACCGGTGAGCTCCCTTGCGGTACCGTTTTTCTGAACCGCGGTGTCGTTGGGTTTATTCGCGGTGCCGTTTTAGCCAAACGACACCGTTTCCCAGTCTCGCAATGCCGTCGAGCTTTGAGGTTCGCGGCACCGCTTAAATTCTCCGCGGTATTTCTCGACTCCAAACGATATCGTTTTGGCCATGCGATATCGAATTAAATGCCGAGACTAATTAATGCGGCATTTAATTCAGGCCGAAAATATTTTAGGTGTAAACAGGAAGGGAATCTGTAAAGCTTCTAGTATGGTATCACCTACAATATTGTCCGTCTTTCGCTGCAAGATTAGGCTGGATGATGATTGATGATCATGTCCATCTGGAATTCCCTCTAGTTGTATCAGTTGAAGAAATGAACTTCTGTAGCGAACTGCGAGAGGCCGTGGATTCCTCCATCGTTGTAATAGCCGTTAGTTCAAATCAACCTGTACAAAAATGAAGCTGCTTGCTCTTGCGTGGGTAAAATAAAAGATAAAGCTCTGAATGATATACAAATTCCAACACATCTGAATTAGAGGAAGTGTTCTACAGCAAATAGACACCAGAGTATGCAGAGATGATTCATGTTTCTTTTTTTTATCTCAACTTACCATTCACTCACTCTGTCATCACTCCCAAATTTTCTACATTCATTATTGTTAAGCTTACGTGAAAGGTAAAAATCAGATAAGATTACATGTCTCAATCTAGGTAGACATAAACCTTGCACATTACAATATCACAAGTGACCACAGAGCTACACAAGCAGCATAATGCAAGTTTCGTTGATGACGAAGCTCCCTGTCTCTTTCCCTTATGGTGTAGCTCTTGAGTCACCAGACCAAGCCTCGTTTTCTTCTAATAAATCTATCAACCCGGTCAGTGCTCATTCGAGACTTCTCGTGCTTATTTGACTTCTTGGACTTCTCCAGCCGACTGTCTAAACTGTTTCTTGACATTTGAGGTGGTGGTGGAAGCTCTGCCACCAATTCGAAAGTATCTTCTGCGGCTCCAGGGGGCTCCGGTGCTGTTTTATTCTTATTCTCTGCCTCTGATGATACCGACGTCTTATCTTTTTTCTTATTCCCTGACTCTGATGCCATCGTCTTTTCGGGACCTGCATTTGCTGCAGCAGCCACTGCTGCTTTTGCAGATTTCCCCAGTGACACTACAAACTTCTTGAGATGCTTTATGAATTCCGGATATATCTCGAGGTTGCAGTGGCCCCCTCCACTTATCCATAGAGGTTCATATTTGTTCTTGCAGAGATCCCACAACTGTCTTCCGTGAGAGCAATCCACAACTTCATCTGCTGTTCCCTGAGAGTTAGAAATAAGCAAATATGAATCAGCAACACTTCTATATTTTGATTGTATTTTTTATGGGATGGTAGATAGTTTGTTTAATAAGGAGGAAATATTTTTACTTCAGAGAGACAAAGCTGGAAATGAAATTTTACTGGTGAGGTGGCTTTTAGATGTTAATAATCTATGAGATTTAGAATGAATAATCGTTCCAAAAGGTTATAATCAAGCAGTATGTTCATTTAACCGTTCAAACCAATTTGTTTCAAGTTGCTTATTGTTCAGCCTAAACGAACACACCCTTGTTTGATCAACCTACAAGTTTTAGTCGACATTTCTTACATGACAATCAAGCACTCAGGTTGGCTACTATGACCTAAATCTGTGTTTGAACAATAAAAGTCTACTAAAAGGCGGGGAAAAAACTCCTTAACCCACTCGCTCTGAAACCCAGTGAAAGAAAATGTTAAAGCCTGTAGGGTGTAAACTGATAAGATCAATAGGGAATTAAAAAGCAAGATTGACGTTCAAAACTCAACCCACAGATTTAATGTACTTTAGATAAGTGCACACCAGCAATATATTTCTTTTTTTAGTTCTATCATTCTATTTATCATGAGATAGGCTGTCATTATATCTTTCAAGATGAGTAACTTTGTCCGACCTTAGACTTCCAAGATTTGTCTCCAAGAGTCAGCTTATCCTGAATCGGCCAACCGATAAACTAGTAAATACATGCATATCAATGCCGAAGGATGGTAAGAAGCAGAATGGCTATGGCTAACGTACTGCAACCCCCTATGAAGTGACATTTATGTTCCATCAAGTGGAACGAGCGGATGGAGGAAATCATACTTACATGGATTATCAGGACAGGGCACTTCACCAAACCGATTTTGTCAATGTTCTGAAAAACATGGAAATTTCATATAAGCCTACACACACGAAGTTAGCAAGCCATGAAAAATATATTGAATGATTTTACCTTGTAGATGTCAAACCAGTAAGTTCTTTTGACTGGGTATAGCACCCTCATGCCAGAAAGAAGTGGACTGTGAAGAACCACACCTCTTATATTGGGCAAACGGGAAGCAAGATCGACTGTGGGTCCACTACCAACAGACTGACCATACAATATCAGGTCTTCTTCTCTGACCCCATACTGCTCTCTTAAGCAATTATAGGCCGCATCTATGTCCGCATACGTATTGTATTCGGTTGGCTGTCGCAAGTAAAGCACATATTTCATTCTCATGAACTTCTTGCCATAGATTGATTAAAAAAGCAATTACTCTCACTTTGCATTTCTAGCTGTGCAGGACAGGTAGATACAGAAAGCGGAGGGATAACACAATGCAAAACGAGATAATGAATGTAGATATGGGCAATGTAAATAGACAAACAAAAGGAGGTAACCCACCTTTCCACTTGACCGCCCATAGCCAGAGTAATCATAGCTGAAAAGAGAAGAAAATCAAACACATTACGAGACAGATTAGTCCAGAAACAAGATAAGTAAGAACAAATCACAAAACCAATATGGCTAAACGCATCAACGTCCAACTCAGTCAGTTAAGCTTCTGTACGAAGCTATATGAAGGCATGAGACTTCAAACATGGTACTTAGGTGTTAGATAACTGTTCCATGCTATTCAATCTAATTATATGAATTGCTTTCAGTTGAAAAAATTCAAATACTCATGCAGCTACACTATCTAACCACTTGTTAAACAGCCAAATCTTACTGCTAACTATAGTTCTTCTGCAAACGTTTACAGATGAAAGATGGATAAAGTACAACAACATGGAAATAGAGTAAATTGTGTCGTGGCCAAGCATGGCAAATATTCTAGAATTGTAAGGTCCCCAATCTTCTACCTACTAACAGAACATATCACAAAACTTGTTGCCTTAAATATGTCGATGGCAGTAAATGGTGTTGATCCTAACAACAACAAAACAAAGGTCGTCAGCGATTTATTTCAAATAATTCCTAGCAAGAAGAGATAGAGACCTATTATTTTCCTTCAGCCTCTTATTGATGGAAGTCCATTATATAAAAAAAAAAAAGAAAAATCTTTTCCATGGCAGCCACAAGATCTTCTTGATGAAGGTGCAATGAAAAGGCCAAGTCGCTTTCACTACAAATGCTTAAGGTTTCCAGACCCCAAGGTACAAATTATAACTAATAATTTGTACTTCAAAATTATCAGCTCTTTAAAGGAAGACTCTTAAAAGACGCCACAGTAGTTTCACATTGAGCCTCAAATTCAGGTTCAACCATACCTCTCAAACTAATTTCCCCCTCTAGTTGCTCAACCTCTTTTCGCAAACTTTATTCTAAACCCATCTGCAGTTTATCATAAATGTTCAACTTCTACCCACTATAATGGTTTCTCAGTACAAAAAGGTGAAGTCCAAAAGACTAGTTCAAGTTCCAAAATCGCTGGAGGTTGAAGAGATTAATAATTTTAGTATGATAAAATGCTACATCTAATCCTATCTACTGACGCAGACAGCTTCTATAACATATTATGGTAGCCATAACTGTGTTCAATACATGACAATTTGAACTTCTAGACTCTCAGAGGTGGAATCCAATTAAGCACATCTGTCAGACCAATAAGCTGCTTCCTGCGAAACAGTTTCATAAGAAAATCATACATTATCCAAGATTCAAACTTGTTTTTCTTCATAAGAAGATAGTGGAGCAGGTTCACCAGAATTACATCACACAAAACTGGCACATTCTACAGAAATGTAGTATAATGGTATTGGTAGACAGGTACCATTACAGCAGAATGGACGTTGTAAATTCTATAACCATTTACCATCCAAGTAGTCCTGATATGTTTCAACTTTCAACTAATGATAGGACCTTCCAGCGCGCCTAATTTACTTCGTATAAACAACAACCACTATCCTATATACACATTAATAGTCATGGTTTTACATGTATGCAAATGAACTGGCAGTTTGTGTGCGAACTGTTCCACATCTACAGAGAAAGAACTAATCTTTTGACAGCCACATGTTGACCATGATCCATTGGTGTTCTGGACCTTCTACTAATTCTACTTCGAACGCAATACGAAGTTCCAACACATACAACGTTATCCATCGGATGTTAGGCAATGGAATCAACGGCAATCAAATTTTGAAAGCTGAGCTTTTAATGGCAGAATTGCACAGGATTTCTATGGCATAAAATCAAGACATAAGAAGAGAAGGCGGCAAGGAGCAGAGAAATGAATTTACCCCATGAGGTTAACCCGAAGCCGATTGCTGAGCTCGACGAAGAGCTCGTACATCTGACCCAAATCAGCGGCATTCCCATGGGAATACAGCAGAGTAGCCGAAGCCCTGGGATGCTTGATATGGACGGCCACGATTTCGTTTCCTCGCCTAGTGTGCAGCTTCAGTACATCCACGTCATCCCTCCTCGGCAGCTCTGGCATATACAGCTTGCCGCCGCCGGTAGAATCTCCAGCTACCACTGTGTACGACGGCGGAGTCGGAGGAAAGAAAGCGAATTTCGCGGCAATTGACGAGGTGACTCCGCCCATCTTCTGCTTCTTCCTGCTGCTGCTAGTGATGCTTTATCAGTTGTAACAATCATCAGAAGCTGAGGATTCATAAAGGAACCAACAACCCGCTCCCCCTTGCACTCTCTCCTCTACCTCTTTTAATCGTTTTCAGATCTCTGTGAAGAGTTTAACAGAATGGAAGCGATGGAGCAGAAGAAGAGCGGGCTGAAGGAGCCGGCGGCAGTCGCGATTGGGAAGGAAAAAGAGGTGGGGAGAAAGGCATGGAGAGGAAAGAGAGAGAGAGGGGAAAAGAAGGGGGCCAGAGAAACAGAGGATGGGAAAGCGGAAAGATAGAAAAGCAAAAAAGGTGGGAGAGTGTGGGCGGGTTGGGAACGGCGGCGCGTGAGGAGACGAAGCCGCGTACAAAATTGGTAACTAAATGGGGGAAAGATGGAATGAACACCATAGAATCTCTTATTTGGACATTGAGAGTTGAGATTTCTACTTTGTAACAATTTGGATTCGGTTCTTCAAATGTGAAAGTGAAGGTAACTAATTAATTGGATTTAATAGGCCACAGTGTTACTAGTAAGGATCAATTGGTATTAAAAAAAGCTACAAATACGGTATAACGACCAATCGATCGTCATTCCTTCCTAATAGTCGAGATAATCCAATTATTGGGCTCAAGATAGGGTGCATAACCCATGGTTATGCACCCATCAATAACCAAATCAGGACCCTTCATTTAGAAAATCCAGATCTAAGTATGGAGAATTAAAGTCCATTTTTATTTTCACTAGTTTTCTTAATTGACTCATATCTTTTTCGTTTTAACTCGGATTTTAATTTTTTTTTGCACAGATAGAACGAGTTCATCGTGCTCTACAAAATGAGATCAATTTTTAATATTTTTCGAGGGAAAAAAAATTTTGGCCTCTCGGTACCAACTGCATACCATATGGTATCTTCTTCGTTTTTCATTCGTTTTTGAAAACGTTTGCACAGCAGGGACGAGTTCATCATGATCTATTGGATCTACAAATTTCTGGGTGAACAAATTACAAGACCAAAAAATACCACCAAATACCATACAATACCACCCTGGTACGGGGTGGTATTTTATGGTATCTTATGGTATACAATGTTAAAAGTCGTAAATGACAATTAATATACTTCTACTATCATGTATTCAATCATCCTACAGTCTTGGTTTGTTCATACCACCATGGTACGCTTTTCAAACCATAGGTATGCTCTTATTTCAATACCAGTCAATACCATATGGTATAGACTGGTAAAAAATGGCTCAATTTTTTTTGTTCGAAAAATATATCAAAGTGGATATCATTTTGAAGAGCACAATTAATCTGATCTAACTGTGCAAAAAAAAATAAATTTCGACTTAAAACGAGTGAGAAATCGTCCGTCAAAGATTAAGGAGAGAAAAATTAAAGGCTTTCCAGGAGAGAGAGGATGCTGATGTCATGCTGATGTGGGCGGGTTACTCATAGTTACTCACCATAAGGTTACTGACCTGATCCATTCCCCAATCATTGAGGGTGAGATATTGAAACTTTGTATCAAAGCTATCTCTCGACGGATTGGGGAACACGCAGATAGAAGAATATATACTTTCATTCATGTATCGTACTACCACCATGGAATGGCACCTACAAGCTTTAGGCGAGCAAATAATGGCATTAGGCGAGCATAAGACTGAAGTTGGTGAGATGCATCACTCTCATTCCACACGATTACAAGTGTTAGTTGCAAGATCTAAAGGTCATTCACATTATTTCACAAACATGAATGCTCATTCACAATTACCATCTATCTAGCTTTATGGTATTGATGACAAGTGAAAGTATCCATTCCAGATCCTTGTATTGTGTCCCAGCGTGTATTAGTCCCATAATACATTGAATTATTTCTATGATTGCTTCAAGTGTGTTATAGAAATACTAGGATTGTTTTTATACGATTGATACGCTTTATTAGCATTCTGTGAATTTTCAGGGCAAAGTAGTCTAGTGGACCACTTGGAAGTCGTAGGGGACATCGGGATCAAGTTGTTGGAGCTAGGATTCGACGACCTGACAAGCCTGGGTCAAACAGCGCCAACGATGTCGTTTTAGGAAGCTCGTCCACTTCGTCAAGAAGTTGTCCAAGAGCATCATGATTCACTGCCACGTGTTTGGAGTGCTCTTATTGGCTGAATGATGGAGGAGTGATTCAGGTTTAATTACACATGTTTTCACCGCATATTCTTGTGACGTTTGAGGCATTTACATCGCCCGAAGTTCAATTTTACGCTAGGTTTGTGCATGTTTTAGGTTTTAGCAAGTGGAATTGACCTCAGGAGCGAAAGTTGAAGAAAAGAGGGTGAAAGTGGATCGAAATGGACAGGAAGGCAAAGATCACGACCAAGGAGAGACTATCACGGGCTAGAGACCGTGAAGATTCAGCCTCGACCGTGAGGATCGACGACTTCCAAGAGCTTTTGCACGCCTCGCGGACAAGTCAGTTGTCACGATTAGCAGACTGTGACAATTCTGCCCCGGCCATGAAGATGCTAAGTGGAATGATGTGTTTTTGTCCGAGTTCACGGGAAGGCTTCCAAGATCATGCCCGTGATTTTCGACTGTGACATCTGCCTGACTGGGCTCGCTCTTGAAAAAGATTTGCCTCAAACCAGAATTATCATCCAGAAGTGGTGCACGATCAAAAATGTTGAAGGTTTCGCTTATTCCATACTCTTCTGGTAGGTCAAGCTTGTACGCATTACTCCCAACCTTCGAAACCACTTGGAAGGGACCTTCACTTCTCGGCAGCAACTTGGATATCCTTTGGTGTGCAAAATCTCTCCTTCATGTGCACCCATACCCACTCTCTTGCTTCGATGTGTCGAGGCTTTTATGCTTATAGGCGTTCTTCATAATATGTTATGTTCTCCTCTCGATGTTCAATCGTGCCTTCTCATGGAGATTCTTTACATACTCAGTCTTCTTTTCTCCATCCTTGTTGACTTGCTCCTTCAAATGTAAAGATGTAAAATTCAATGGTGTAAGAGGATTGAACCCATAGACGAGCTCAAAAGGTGAGTATTTTTGTCGTTGAATGCACATCCTTGTTGTAAGAAAACACCACGTGTGGTAGGCAGTCTTCCCCAACCTTGATGTTGCTTTTGATCACTGCTCGCAGCATTTGGGATAGAGTACGATTCACCATCTCAGTTTGTCCATTCGTTTGAGGATGACAAGTCGTAGAAAACAAGAGCTTCGTTCAAAGTTTGCTCCACAACGTCTTCCAAAAGTAGATGAAGAACTTCACATCTCGATCAGACACAATAGTATATGGAATTCCATATTTCCATGCAATCTCATAACTTGTTTGAAGAACAGATCGACCACATCAACATGATCATCGGTTTTATGGCATGGAATGATGTGTTCAATCTTCGAAAATTGATTCACCACCACAAATATTGAATCTTCTCCTCTCCTAGTCCTTGGCAATCCCAACACAAAATTCATAGATATGTCGACCCATTGTGCCGATGGAATGTGTAGTGGTGTGTACAATCAAGACGACTGCACCTTCGATTTATCTTGCTTGCACTCCACACATCTAGCACACAAGCTCTCCACATTGCTTTTCATAGGAAGCCAGTAGAAATGCTCTTGTAAGCAACTAAATGTTTTGGCTACACCAAAGTGTGTCATCAATCCTCCTCCATGAGCTTCTCGCAATAGAAATTCTTGAAGTGAAGTACGTGGTATGCAAAGCTGATTACCACGAAACAAAAAGCCATCTTGTTGATAGTACTTCCCTTCTCCATGCTTCTCACATAGCTTGCATATCTCTCAAAAATTAGAATCCTCTTCATATACCCCTTTGATTTGCTCGAATCCAAGCTAGATTGCATCCATAGTCGCGATCAAAGTTTATCTTCTTGACAAGGAATCAACAACCATATTTTCCTTACTTTGCTTGTACTTGATCACGTAGGGGAATGATTTGATTAACTCCACCCAACGAGCATGCCTCTTGTTCAACTTATGTTGGGCCTTCAAATACTTGAGAGACTCATGATCCATATGGATAACGAATTCCTTTGGCCACTAGTAATGTTGCGAGTCTCCAAAGCTCAAACTAGTGCATAGAGCTCTTTATCATAGGTCAGATAATTAAGTGTAGCTCCACTCAACCTGTTGAAATATGCAATTGGCCTCTTCTCTTTTATGTATCTATAAATCAAAAAATACCTAAACAACTTTACCCTTCTTGCATTACTTTTCTTTGTTTGCTACTTGAATGAAAACCCATAAAATTCTTTCATATTTTCGTCTGTCATGGATGGTTAGTGTGCGTAGTTATGCATTAGAACATCTCAAGGAATACGACCATAGGCATCCTTGTATTTTGTCACTTGTTTTCACGGTACCTTCTTCCACCTTCATCTCTTTGAAATCTTCACGCAGTTCATTCGAACTTCCTTTATCGGCTTTGGGAGGCTCCATGATGATTTGAACATCTTTAAGAAGTTGCTTTGATTCTTCATCTTGGATACTAGCACGATGCTCTCAGGGGTTTTTACTCGATCTGGAAGCTTGATAGGAGAAATTCGCAAGCTTGTTCCATCTTCTCTATAGTAGGGTAATCTCCATACTTCTTTCTTATTAGCTTTGAATCTTCTATATCTATTCCTTTACAATCCAATTTAACACGAGCCCTTTGTTCAGAGTAGTGTAGTGGAGGGAAATGATGGTGCTTGCTTCAGCCTTTGATTCTCTTCGGCCCATCTTTTCTCATTCTTTTTGGTATCATATCTTTGGATGGATTTTTATGGTTTTATCGATATGAATGATGCAAAAACAAAACAAAAACAACTAGATCATAAAATACTAATAGCCATGGGTGGACTTCCATATTTCGAAGCAGCCGTGGCGGAAATTCTGTGGACTCTTCCCAAGGGAGCGTCAATCAGTTGTTGCCAACTCTCTGGAGCCTGTTTCCCTTGGTTGACAGAATAAGGTAGCCAAAAGTGACGATAAATCGAAGCTTGGCTACAATGAAGCACTTACCAAGAACAAAGGTTCGTTCCTTTGCCCTTCTCGCAATGTCAGGGCATTATCCCGTCCACATTCTCCTATTACCAACACAGAGATGCTATCCATAGAAGCATAGGAGGCACCATTATCTAAATCATATTGAAAACCGGCACATGTCATTGATGATAGCCACGAAGAGGACTCTGGTGAAAAATCCCAGGCAACGATGCCAAAAACTTGATGTAATATCGAGTGATAGATATTGATACAGAAACAAGTTATAAATCCTAGGATGCACTAGGGTCGTATTTCATGAGGTCTTTTGATAGTAACTACTGAAACCTAACCTATTGAGATCAAATTGATATGCAAGGAAAAGTAAATATGATGTGGGTATAGGTTCCCTATTAGCCAATAATGCAAGGAAAAAAACAAAGAAAACAAACAATGCAAT